ATCAAAATCAATAAAGATAAATGCTGCGTTACGTTTGGACTGACGAGATAACTTGAGAAGTTCATTTACAAGTAGGATATTATCCTGAATGTTCCTACCAGATATGAAACCCGTTTGAGATGGATGAATAATATCTTAAATTATTGTGGACATTCGATCTGCTAGTGCTTTTGCAATAAGCTTATAGACCACTGTGAGAAGGGTTATCGGGCGGTAATTTCTTATATTCGTCTTGTCCCCTTTCTTGTAAAGCAGAGTAAGAACTCCCTGTCCTACAAATTCGCCCATGTCCCCTGATTCCCAAACCGCATGATAATAGTTCATGAGATCCTCTGATATAAAGTCTCATGATGCTTCCCAAAATTCCTTTGGTAGGCCATCAATTCCAGGGGACTTGTCTTCTTCCATTAATAAGAGGGTTTTCCATACTTCGTCTTTTGTAAGAGGTCTTTCCATTTTCTCCTTCTGCTCCTCTGTTAATGTTGTATTTAAAGGATGAAGAAATTCGTCAATTTTTCTGATAAGCTGTTCTTTATGAATATGACTGTTTTGTGAGGTAAGGAGTGATTTGAAGAAGTCTTTGGCTATTTTAGAGCATGCAGCAGTCAAAGTGACCATATTTTTATTGGGGTCTGTCGGGTCCTCTAAAGTTTCAATGATAGTTCTTCCTGTTCTAGCTCTCGTCATCGCAAAGAAACGTGCATCCATTGAGCCTTCCATATCCTGAACTCTGATTTTGCCCCTGATTCTTAATCCCTGCCACCTGTATTCAATTTGATTCAAAAGCTGAGATTCCATGTTTTGGAGTTCATCAACTATCAACTGTAAAAGGCCTTGCTCCTCTGATTCTGTTTCTTGATTTTGCAACTCAGTAATTCTATCGAGGATGTTAGTTTCTTTAACATGTCTCTGTTTTGCCAAAAGTTTAGAATATTCATTGCATTTACGACCTAAAAAAACTAGGCCGTTATTGAACCATTGAATGTCATCCCTAATACAATCCTTCTGATCTTTCCAATATATCCAAACGTCACGCAGGTATTGGAGAAAACAATCCTTTTTGAGATGTGAAGTGTTGAGACGATAGAATCTTTTCCCTTGATCTGGTTTCTTTCTGAAAGACAAGATTGTCATACACATAGAATGATCCAGACTTGGGAAATGACTTTTTGGAAAAATCTCTGCCAATTGAAGCGCACCTAGTAACTCATCAACCATCAGAATCAAATCAATACGAGATTTTGAGTTTTGATTTGCAGCGCCTTTCCTAAAGCAGGTAAAGGTTCTGGTCACTGGATTCAACCTTCTGTAGGAATCAAAGAGATTCATTGATTGACATAGATCTGCGATTACCTTTTCATCCTTTAAAAAGTATGATGGACAAGGGGAAGGGGGATGCCACCTATCTATTAAATGATCTGGGGCAGCATTAAAGTCCCCAGCTATAATCAGGGGAATACCTACTGGCAGGCGTGGAAGAATGTTGCCAAAGAAAACTTGCCTTTCCCTTATCTCATTTGGTCCATATACACATAATATTCCTACCATCTTTAATTCAAGCATTACTAGCACAAACACCCACCGTCCTTGTTCCTGGTCAGTCACTGAGTAGACAATCTCTGCTCTAGACTGGGGGGGAATCCAGATAGCAACCCCAGAGCTCACTGGCGTGATAGCATGGGCTCTATATGATTGATGAGGTCATATCTGTTTGTGTATTTAGTTATGCATTTGTGAATCCAGCAAGTGAGTTTCCTGAATGCATATCACATACGACCATTCTTTCCCATCAATACCTTTTAATTGATCATAGATTGCTTGTCTCTTGTTCAATTTTGCTGAGGCTAATCCATTCACATTCAGGGATCTGAGGTCTAAGTCCGCTTGTCTTCTAAGTACCTTCCATTCTTTGTTCTTATTATACAAAGCATCAATAATTTTAATTCCTTTCATTTCAGTAATTATATTAGGTACCAAACGATCCCCTGAGATGGACTATGAGAAAACCTCTTCTGGAGTTTCTTCCACTGGCCCGAATCGAGAATCCCCCCTTTCTCCAAAATGCCATGTTTCAGCAATCTAGCTAGAAGGACCCCTACATCATCCTCTTACCAGAAGAGGCCCGCCTTGATTTTGAGCACTTGAATATCTTTCAGTGCTTCCTGCAAAACCATCTCAATTCTTCTTGTCTTATTCCTTCGTATTTTAGATACACATCCCTCTTTGCAACTCGTTGTTCTTCTGATGTTAGTGTAAGGATAGATAGACCGCCTGCTGGGAGGTTTTCCTTAATAAATTGAAGTATTTTCAACTTTATCCACGATTCTCCCGCCATTCCACCTGTCAAAGATACTATAGATAGCATTTGAGGTTTAGTACCATGCATGGTTACTTCCCCATATGCTGCACCTTGTGGTTCTGACAACCCAACTTGCCAACTTCCTCCTCTGCATCTGACTGGCAGGATGATAACTCCCACTTTCGATGGCGGGAGGTCTCCTTGACCCTGAATCATCCGCTGTCTAAGTTTTTGTCTTTTGCTTGTGGAAGTCAGTTCCATTATCTGTAAATCATGTTCCCCCCCATCTTCCGATTCTTTACTGGCTTCGTTACCCTTTAATAACACGTTAGGAAGGATCATTTGCTTTTCAGAAACCTGAATTAAATCCCTTTTGTATTGCTCTAAGTCCCTTTGGGATGATTCTGTAACAGTCTGCCCTGTCAGAAGTAGGAATTTCTTTTCACCAGTAATCTCCAATACTATCTCTTTAACCCCCTGGGTCATATGTACACAGTTCTGAGCAGTTGCCTTGGGAGGACTGTCTTCTTCCTTCTTAGTCTCACTCTCCCTGACCTCTAATGCTGAGGACATCAAACTGTCCTGCCTTCCTTCAACTTTTTCTTTTTCTTTGACCAAACTCTCTGGTGAGTGTTGGAAGAGCAGTGTCCCAGACACAGCTGGAAACAGGTTGTTTCCCTCTGATTGCAAGACTACCCCCGATGAGCTAAGAAAAAACATTTCGTTTCCCATCATCCTTTCTTGTGCATGGATTAACTGTACTGACTGTACTACCTGTGCCTCATCACACAATGAAGATATGCTTTGTTTCTGGTTCATCGGAATTCCTTGCAATACCAATACCTCCTCGAAATGTGACTGTACATTCTCTGTTAGAGTATTAGCAGTCAAACTATTTTGCTGTCCCTGGTGCTGGGACACCGTCCAACCTGGATGACCACTATTTTGTTGTTCCATCATCGAAAAAGGACCACTGGAAGACTGTAACAGTTTATCTTCCCCCCCCCTTATAATGAAGAAGCTCCCCTGTTACTGAACTTGATCCCACTTTGAGCAACTGTCCTTGAGAGCTCTCTGCTACAGGGTCCCTCTCCTGTTGTTCCTTCATCGTTTGAGAGGGATTGGAAAACTGTGAGAGACTTTCCCCATCACCCTGATGTAGGGGAACAATCATCGTCACTGTTCTTGAGACAGACTGCATTGGAGAAGCGTTCATACTCCTCAGAGGAACAACACTCAGTGAAAACTCTTGAGTCTTATCCTCTGGTGCAGAGAGTTGTGACAGAGTATGTGGAGACTCTGTTGATGCAGGGAACTGGGACAGAGTACGTGTTGATTCTTTTGTAGCAGATTCCCGAAGAACTTTCGTATTCTTTTTTTTTTTTTTTTTTTTCCAATTACCATTTTGTCCTTGTTCTTCATGGAGTGTTTGGAATTGGATTTGCCAGGAGAGAGGGACAAGTGCTTCACCATATCCTTCACCGTACCATCAAGAGGTAGCCCACTAATCTTCCTCCTCACTAACCTAATCACCTCCCCCTTCTTCACCCGTTCATCAAATCTCACCTTCGTAATCACACGCCTGCTAATCAGCACCCCAAATTTTTCCTTCACGACATCAGTAATCATCTTCTTCGCCCTCGATCGACTTCTTTTCGTCGAAAAAATCTTCGCAGCATCATAGTAACGAATCAAATCCCCGATTTGCAATTTCTTCAATTTACACTGTTTCTTCTTGAATTTGAACATTCGAACCAATTATTCCTTCAGCTTTAATGCCGATGGCGATGCTTCCACAACGTCATGAATCCTCACCACTCCTTCCTGTTCGAACATCTTCTTGCACTTTCTCAGTGGTCTGGTTCTTTTGCCTACGCTCACCCTTGTTTCACCGAACAGTCTCCTTACCACCCGCCAATTGTCAACCCAAACCAAGCCGCCATTACTCCTTACCTTATATTCTTTCCCTTTCCCGTTCTTCACCAACTTCCGAAGCAGGCTAACAATCCGTCCCGTCCCGTCCGCTATTCCATCGATTTTCAAATTAAGGATCCTCGTAGGTCTATTCTTATCTTCTTTCTCCTCCAGAGTTGGTGTGTGAGTCAATTCCTCAACCTTGTTCTTTAATCGTCGTCGTTCCTTTTTGCCCTTTCTCTTTCGATTCTTCGTTCTTCGCTTCTTCATCTTTGTATTCAGCGAAGGAAACCAAGTCTTGATCATCATCCTCTCGACCGCCTCAAGTTCCTGTCTGTCCTCGTTTGGAAACAGTGGTACGGCGACGTACTGTTCGACTCCGACTTTCCTCAGCCATGTATACAAGTTTTGTCTTCCTTTATCCCTCCTACTATTCTTCCCTCCGCGAGCCACATGCTCTTTCCATCTCGAGTGCAGCGCCCGTTCCGTCATCCCAATATAAATCTGCTTGTACCAAGGTGACACTAACGCATATACACAGCCACCTGATCCAGTCAGTGCCAGGTTATCAATCATGCATGCATCGCTCCAATAATCTTGAAGCTTCTCACACCATGGAACTTCTCCTCGTATCACCAGTTCACCATCGCCCGTAAGCGTCTCTCATTTGTCTCATCATTACAGCCCGATATCGATTTAAGGCTTCAGAGCTTACCGATTTCTCTCCACATGCGCCCAACGCATCATTCAAAGTCCTCATCGTCCTCATCGTCCTCATCGTATTCACTTTCCTCTTCAGTCGGTTCAGTGGTTGGCTTCGGTCGTATCGATCTTGCCGATCCCGGTATTTTCATAGCTTCCTTCGGAGATTGAGGCAAAGGGACGTTGATAGGATCGTAAGCCTTCAATAGTCTCCTGGTCACCAGCCGCTTGATGGCAATATCCCTCTTCACGTAGCTAATCTTCTCATTTCTGCAAACTTCTTTCAGATCATCTATCGTCAGTGCTTCGAGTAGATCGCGATATTCAACTTCATACTTCTCGCGATCTCCCGGTCCACAACCAGCAAACACGTGCTTCATACTTAGTGCCAGTTTTCCAACTGGTGCTAAGATCTTCGATGCTGATGCTGTCTTACCCGCTTCACAGCTCCTAATCTCCTCGATCCTGGATATCACCTCCATTCCCAACACCGGCCTCAGACCCCTCGCATCCGCCATAAACCTCGTCCTTTGTCCTTTTGTTTCTGTAGTCAACGGCGGACTCTCTGCCGTCTGTTTCTCTAGGTCCCGTCTCCGTTTATCATTGATGTTTATCCTTGCCGCGCGTCTTCGTAATAATATGAGCTCAGTGTCTTCTTCCTCATCTGAACTCGGTTGCATAGCGATCTCTCTGCTCAGCCTCTCTTTATCTTCTTCCACCGTTTCTCCCCTATCATTCACTCTCACCTTCTTCTCCCGTTTCGCACTTCCAGGTCTCTCGTTACTTCCGCACTCCACACGTACAAGCCGCAAAAGTCTCGCATCACGCTCGTCTTCATATCTCTTTCGTTCTTCCAGCCGTTCCAACCTCTTTTTCTCCCGCTTCAGGCGCAACTCCTCCGCCTTCCTCTCTTGCTGTTCCCTAACCTCTTGTTCCTTCCTAGCTCGTCTCTCCTCCGCCAACTCCAGAAAATATTTGCGCATTAGCTTATCTGTGTAGGTTGGCCCGCCACGATTTGTCAGGCTATCGGCTAATAGGCTTCGTGGGTGCTCCTCTTGAGTCGTCATCGCTTGTCCTTGTCGCGGTCTTGGAGGTGGTGGTACAAAGCTCACTCCACGAGTTTTTGCATCGTGATACTCCTCACACACGCTAGCGAAGTGATCTGCCTCTCCACATTTGTAGCACGTTTTTCCAAGCATGGGATGGGCTCTCACTGGGGTGGGTGGTTGCCCACTTCTTCCACCCACTCCCCCCGTCCCACCCGAACTGCTTGACTGACTCATTCTCCTCTAGGTCGCACTCCGTCTGCCTTACAAGCTCTTGCACTACCAGTACACTCGCAATACCCTCGCAATCTCCTTCTTGGCTTTCTCCTAGATAATACCGTATCTGCCACCCACTCCAGGTTTATCTCCTAGCAGGTTACGACACCAATGAGAGCATTCAATATCATGCGCGTGCGCATCATGCCAAGCAGCATAACACAACAAGATAGCATAGTAGCCGTGAGCACATTATTAGCAAAGTAAAAACCATCATCGTCCGTAGCATGGTTGCTCGTGACAACGTCGTGAAGAACAGTGCCAAGTGCCAGTGCGGACATCCCCTCACCAACCCTCACAATCCCTCTGACCGCCTTCTGTCTGCTACTGAATCCAAGCACCCAAAGGTGCGAAGGGAGTCAGATTGTCGCATATATTCTATTAATACCAGTTGGCGTCTACGTCCAAGACTATCTCCAGTCGTTCCTATCGGCGCCTATTCCGGCTCGAGGTTGAGCCCGTTAGTCCGGTAGTGCCAATACCTGGGCCTACCGGGAGCAAAGGACTGATTCTATTTGAGCCAGTTCCGCCTCTGAACAGGCCGAGAAAACCGGATTGTCCTACTCTATCACTCACTGAAACTGGAAGTCTTCATTGGTCTACATACCTGTTCCAACCGGTCGGGCTTATCCCATCGCAAACAAGGTTCAACACGGGTCAACCGGATCGTACCTAGTCAACACCCGCCGCAGCTGCAAGGAGGCTCTTTTTTTTTTTTTTTTTTTTTTTTTTTTTTTTTTTTTTTTTTTTTTTTTTTTTTTTTTTT